ATTCGAAAAAATTTTATGTATCGTTCGGTTTCTAAAAAATTTTCTGCAGGGGTAAGCTTTGATAGAAATAGATATAGTAAATGCTTAGTCTTCCGCAAAGTGAACCTGAGATAAATCAATTCAAGAAAATGGTATTAATGTTTAGTTTTAGGTTAATACATGAAAAAAATGTATTTGTAGTAAGTGACCCTGAGAAAAATTATGGTATTTTTGCTCGATTTGTCTAATATTTGTTATATATATTGCCTCCTCCCTGGTGCCAGGGACCATGTTTTTGAAAAAAAACCTTTAACTGCCAACCAAGACGTGAAATTCAAGAGACAAGGTCGGAAACAAGTAAGTCATCACCGAAATTAAGCAGAAGTGAAAGATGATGTAACCTAGGACGTTACGCTGTGAAAGTTGGGATTGAGGACTTTTACGCCAGGTTGGCAAAAAGGCGTTTTTGACATAACAGTCGGTAAATTTACCATCCATTGGGAAGCATCACAAACGGACTGAGGCGGAACGACTTCAGGTTGTTCTAAGTTCTAATTGACCGAAGATATTTCCTGGTGTTCTAAATGTGTGTGAAATTCGAGGATGTCTCATCGACTTGCAGCGAAGATACGCACCTGCTACTGCGTATCAAAGAACTATCGTCGACAATCAGATGGAAGATGTCAATCACAACTGAAAAGTTTTCTACCTACACCTTCTTTCTGAGAGCACACATCGTGGGACGGCATCACAAACTCTATATACTCCTTCACTACGGAAACAATTAGCTTTTAACAGTGTCAGCAAATAAAAGAGAAAAGAATCGATATGCACCATCGCTTTATGAACACCAATAGACTTTTAGCTTTGTTGACTTTCAAACTAATATCTAGTGAGAAGTTCAGTTTAGGGTTTATAGCGATGCCCAGATCAACGAAACAATGAACCGGTTTCAGATCCTAGCTATATATTGTGAAAGTATGTGTCTCAATGGCTTATTATATTACTTAGACTTTTGTCAAAAGAAAAATGTATATATATATATATATATATATATATATATTTCTAGAAAAAAAATCTTCATAAAAATATTTTATCTAAGTGGACTAGACTAAATATTCTTTTAAAATAAATTTTTGAAGACCTTATAATGGACTTCTAGCCAATTTTTTGAACGAATACCTAGAGGTCAAAATTTCCCTTTGAGGCGGGAGCCAATTAGGATATCGAAAACTTTTTGAGGCAAAATAATTCTATAGTTTCTTCTGAGCTATCTCCGAACGGCCGATGGATTTTTATGTGGCGTTTTTTTCTATTGCGGACGCGATTTGTGTACTGTAGGGAAAGTGTTATCGATTTCATGGACCTTGGCTCAATCCACCAAAACTCTGAACAACTACAAATCACCATTAGTCATCATAAATGACAGCGGGTAATGTCATAAAATTGTCATTAGCCTTTTCTTCACACACAAAAGCCACTTCAATGTACACTGTCAGTCAATAAATAATAAACATCTACTATTTGAATAGAAAAATATTAAAAAATTCTACAAATTGTAACTCCAGGCAAGTGCCAACCCAAAACCATATTTTTTATTATTCTAGAATTTCGATCTAAATGGTATAACACAATGGCGCCCCGTGGCCAAGATGAAGAAAACTATTAAAGCAAAAAAAACACAAAATGTTTTAAGTTTCTCAAAAAAGCCACTAACCTTAAGACAACCACCCAAAGAGCTAAAGAGAACTAGTGGAAATCACAGAAAACATCTAATGCTAAAATTTCAGCAAGAAAAGAGCACTAAGTTATTAACTGAAAATAGTAAAAAAGGAAAAAAAATCATAAAAATACTGAAAATAGTAAAAAAGGAAAAAAAATCATAAAAATTTTGCAAAAATCATAATTCAGCTTAAGGAACAAAATTGCTTAAAAATATTTATTTGCATGTTTGTATGTGTAAAACTAACTGGCAAGTAAAAAAACAACGCCCACTCAATAGCGCCAATTAGTGTTCTCTATCATACATTATGTACGAGTATATATATTGTACATATATTCATATTCACTTATACTTGCAAATACTGCAATCAAAATCAAAATTTTGCAACCTTTTCTGAATTTTATGTTTTACAGATTTTTAGCGAGTAATTTGGGCAAATGACAGTTTGCGTTTGACACAAAATTGCAAATACTTGGACAGCACCCACTGCGGAGGTACTGTAATAAAGGCGGGCTAAGGATTTGGATGCTAAACGCTCGCTGTCGCTTTTGGCGCAGATATGCATATGTACGACCACTTTGACTTGTAATATTGCTATGTACGAAGGGAAAGGAGATTTTTTGTGGATTTTTGTTAGCGCTGCAATTGGAGTCTGTCTCTTGGTGAGTCGAACTTTGGCTGTTATGCAATTGCTTTCATTTGCATTCGTCTCTTGGGCTGGTATTTATGTAAATTTTGTATACAAATTGATGGCAGAAAAATGACAGATTTATTTTTCTAATTGCTTCATTTGTGGTTATTATTTTACATATATATACTTATAATCGACACTGTAACGATTTTCGACCGAGCTTCACCTCCGAGAACGAGTAGCGCACGCCGTTAGTATACTGATTGGATCTTACCAATGTGGCTTACGACCCGGTAGATCCACTATTAACCAAATTTTCAAAAGTCTTTGAAAAAGATCTATGATCCGGGGCATTGTTGTTAACCTAGCAATAGCCGCGTGAGCGGTATCTACACCAGTAAAGGAGAAAACGGAAGAGATAGCTAAAACCCAATCACTCCCTTCCGTGACAGTTAAACCTCCATACTAAAACGACCCGATTTTTATACGGCCAAAGACTTAACAGTACCCCTGAAAACCAATTTTAAGTAGATTTGCATGCTTACAACAACAAAAACAAAACAAACTGAAATTAAGTTTTTATTTTGTTTGAAAACACTATACCATCTTGCACAAAAGCTAACCTAAAGCCCATCTATCTCTGGCAAGGTCCGATAAGGTAAGATTATCATCTCACGCAGGTCACACTTGAAGTTCGTCAAATGAAATAAATTTATCGGAGTAAGAGAAACAATTTTATCGGAGTGTTTTTAAAAACATATACAGTTCAGTTTAAGCCAGCACCGAACGGTTTTTGGAATCTTATGAGCAGATTTTATTTCATGTCAAATAGCCTTCAACTCAGCTGAGAATTTCATAGTTATGCATCTCATAGTTGAGAGTAAGGCTGAACAAGTCTAAGGTATGCGTTATACAAGAACCCTTTCAGAGTTTACCTCCAAGAGGCTGGCCACGTAGAAGAGAAGATTGATGGCGTAACTTCGACCAGTGATCTCAGTGCAGTATAACTGAATTGATGGTAAATTTTATTTTAATTTTGTTTTTTTGTTTTGGATTTGTTATGCTTCACTTTATACCCCAACTATTCTTTATTGAATTTTACAAACGGTCTTATTTTCATCCACCCATGTTTGCCCATAATCGATGGACCGAATTTCCATCTGCGAATCGCGGCTGAATCGCAATAAAATAGACCCGTTTCTGAAGCGGATTGTGATGGGCGATGAAAAATGGGTCACTTACGACAACATAACTCAAGCAAACGGTCGTGTCCAAAGTTCGGTGAAGCGGCCCAGCCGGCCAGGAAGGTTTTGCTGTGTATTTGGTGGGATTGGTAAGGAATCATCTACTACGAGCTGCTCCCGTATGCCTAAACGCTCTACTGCCAACAAATGGACCGTTCAAAGGCAGCACCCATCCAGAAGAGGTCATCTTTGATCAACACAGGCCGAATTGTGTTCCATCAGGACAACGCCAGGCCACACACGTCATTGTATTTTTGGCAAATCTTTTTCACGGATATGTAAATTTTGATCAAATTAGCTCAAGAAATGCTTTTAAACTTTCACGTAAATTGTAGCTCGAAAATTTCATTAAGTTAGATAGTAATGTTTTCGGAAACTTTTCGAGAAAAACACATTTAAAGTGTGAAGCGACGAGCGTACCTGCCTTTGAGTGCATGCTGTCCCAAAACTGTATGTCTAAAGCCTTTATTCAGATTGCCTTAAAAGTAGAGGATAATATGCTCGAGATATTGTTAAAGTTAATAAGACAAGACAAAAACAAAACAAAAATGCAATTTTTTTAAGCTGTGAAACCCATGCAACCCTATCTTTTACTCTAGGGTCTACTGCGGTGGCATTTGGACGCGCTGAAAGGTCTCAAGTCAGCGCGAGTTAGCTCTTCCACTTATTCGATAAATTCGACAGGTGTTTAATCTTCACAACTCGGGCACTCAATGGTTAAAATTTATGCACTTAATACATACTTAAATATTTTGTTAAAAGTTTTTTCCAATAAAGCTCAACATCTACGAAAAATCCCTGTATTTGCGTTCAGTATGCTTAAAGTTTTCACAAAATTGCGAATTTTTCTACGTTGAAGTTGTTAGATGTAAAAGGATCTTGTAAATCATTAACCCACCGATCGTTGTGCGATACAAATCAACACAAAAAACCACCAGTGGCATTTTTGGTAGAAAAACCTGTTGGATTTGAATTTATTGCCATTATATATATATATATGTATCTATTGGTAACTGGTAATTTCGTGTGGAATTGAGAGCTGATTCTTATCGCCACAAAATACAAGTACCACCGTCAATTTAGGCGTTATTCTAGCATTGCAAGCCTCTAAATTCTAATTTTTTTCTATTGTTTGGTGGGTGCATTGACACCAATCAAGAATGCAGAAAAGTACATGTGAAAATGGTGTATTTAACATATATACATAAAGCAATTGATAATAATATTACAGTTGAAAAAGAAGAAAATAAAATAAAATAAAATAATTATAATAATTAAAATTTTAAAAATAATTAAAAGTAATTATGTAAAAATAATTGTAATAATTACAAAATAATTTTAAACAATTAAAAATTGCTTACAAAAAGGAATTAAGTAAATTCTTTTTAATGAAAAATTTGTTTAAAAAAATGTTTACACTCACTTGCTGGAATTTCGCCAAAAAGGGCCGCATGCAATCGAGGAATTATCTGAAAATGGAAAATAATTTAATAAATCTAGCATTTATTTGAAAATTTTTATTAACTTAAATGATTTTGAATTATTAATAAATCCCTATCTAATGCTTGCCTTGATTCATTACAAAGACAAAAGGGCTTTATAATATGTATCAAAATATGTAAAAACATATGTATTGCACATATATAACGAGCACAGATTAAAGAGAAATCGCGGAAAGGGAAAAGAGTGAAATTATGTATGTCAAGGTTGAGTCCACGAAATCAAGACAGAAATAAAAAAACTAAAAAAAATCCAAGCAAGGTAAAGTAAATCTCAAATGTCACACAAAATAAAACCAAACTCACGCTTTAAAACAGATACAAAAGAAAAGCCGCATAGTTGAAAAGACGAAAAAGCCAAAATTTGAACGGTTTGATGTGTAGACAAAAGGGATAGACACTGAGGGCAGCTGTTTCCAGCAAACAATGGTCACAAGTCTATCGTGCGTTTTTTTTTTTTAATTTAGTTCAAAAGTCACTTTTAATGCGCCGCGCAAATGCAAAGTCAGCAAAGAAATAACAAAAGAAAGAAACAAGAAAAAAAAACAATTAACTTCAGAAAAAAATGCAAAAAAAAATACAAAACTTTAAAAAAAAAACTAAAAACACTAAAAAAACTTAGAAAAAAATACACAAAAAAGTAAACAAAAATGAAATAACAATTAACTTATACCGTAATACCAAACACTTGAAAATTTAGCATAACAAAAATGAAAAAAAAAAATAAATTAATAAAATAAGCCCATCAAGTGCCCTAATAGCTGCATAGTAAAAGTGCTTAAGTAAATTAAGTGATAAAGCTGCATAAATCACAAAGCACAATGACACACACAAAAAAATGAAAAGAGACAAAAAGTAAAGAAAAAACATTTTTTCAAGTTATCTTTTTGGTTCAACGAATGTGTCAAAACACTTGATTTAAAGTGTGTAAATATGCAAGTAAAGTGGTGCTTATTAGTTATTATGTTTTGTTTATGCTTTAATAGCGTTGTAATGGTATGCTAATAAAACTATGAATATATGTACATATACGGTTATAAAAATACCTATTAAGTCTATATTTTTTTTTTAGAAAAAAATAATATTTTCATGCTCAGTACTCAGTATATTAATTTGGTTGAAATAACAGTTGCATGTAATGACATAAAATATCTCTAATATTATTTAATTAATTATTATATTAATATTAGATATAAATATATTTATAACAATTTTGCCAAATAAACTTCGCTGATTTCCCAAATACCTCAAGTTCGATCACTGGATCGCAATCAAAAAACTCACCAAATTTATTGTAAAATTTCTAAATTTCAAAGAATTTAATCAACGTTTATGTATTACTGAATAAATAATAATTTGCTTCACCATGTACAACGATATCGTTCCAATGATATATGTTCTCGAAACAGAACATTCGATACTCGCGCTTCGGAACATGTTGCAGTTATCGTTATCTCTTTTTCAACCGTCATTCGTATTATATAATATATAAGCTAAAGAATTGAAGAAAGGTATCGATTTAGCCTTGTTTGTGTGTTCATCATTAAGATACTTTGATAAATCTTGGTTCACACCTTTCTTGAGCCATATACGCTACTGCAAATGGGTAAAATCGGGCAATTCCTTCTAAATAAAGGTAATTTTACGAAATACGAAAGGCGCGATAAGTGAATAAATCAAACTTGTTGGGAAGGCTCACATTAAATGGAAAAATACGAAGAGCGGGGAAAAGTAGCAATTGGATGGTGCTTGGATTAAAATGTATCTAACAGAAATCACTAAACTGATTGAAAAAATCAATAAAATTTAATAATAACAATTTTATGGTCTAGTATGACCACGCACTGAGTATGGGTGCAATAGGAAAAGAACTACGAATTTCTCTCATATATCTGAAATACAGTACAAGCCTCGCTTGACTCAAGACCAAACATTAAATGGCTGACATATGTGTGACCGTTTTCCTTCTATATTTGACCGATCAGCCGATTATCTCATGATCAGTTTCTCCCTTTCATAACCCACATTCTTTTCTAAAGTTACTCAGATGCAGATTTCATAAATATTTACCTTTTCTTCTACCTAATTGGAACTAACAAAGAATGCCACTTACGGTACTTAAACCAAGTCAATAATACCGCACCAGGCGTTTCTTATTGAAGCAATTGAAACAAGGAATTTGCGATCTTCCTGTTCGCTTGCTTCATTTGCTTCCATACGACAAATCCTTTCCCTCAAAAATACCCACTGATCATAAGCACCTTTGCCTTTGTTCATCGTTGGTGGTCTGGAATTTTTAATTTTCTATTCACTGCAAAGCAATTTTGAACTGGTTATTATCTAGCCGATATTATCCGTGATATTTGATTTGTTAGTCATGACTGTCAACAATGTCCCAGGTTTGGAGATGGTTTTTCAGTTTGGTGAACTTTTTTCGTTTGGAATCTATTACAGCAGGCAATCTTATTTCGAACTCTATTGTGTCGAAGTTGTATTCTTTGTTCATTCCGGAATTAAATTCACCCAGAAGAATTTCTACTTCGCACCGGAGGAAGCGCTCATGTGTAGTACGTAGATGCTCATAGGTCACAAGTTCTCATCTCTACATTAGTGGGCGGCAATCAGCGATATGTTGAAGTGCTTCACTTTAATGTGGATTATTACTAGACGTTAAGCGACCATAGTGAATACCAACACTCAGCGACCGAGACTCTTTCCATCAGGAATCTGACACCAATATTAGGTTTTTACGAAGCCGCTTTAGTACGCAGCGCTTCCGCCTTCCCATTTCCCAAATTGTTTACGAAGAAGCATTCCAGGTTCATACTCTTAAATTCTATTCCCACAACCGTATGCAGATGGTGCACAAATTTTGCAATTACACAGAAATGAAGCGTTGAGCCGAATATTCCGGATTGGCTCCATCAAAGCTTTCACTCTTACAGCATTTCTCACATGGGTTGCTCGATCTTACAGGTACGTGAGACGTGAAAGAGAACGGTAAGAGTTGAGCTGAAAGGAACGCCATTTCAAGAAAGTGTTTGCTTGGTTACTTGATTTGTACGTAGATTGAGATATTCGTTTTTTGGTTCATCAAGAATTCGTTCCAACAGGACAGGCAGTAAATAAAGAATATTATTTGAGCGTTTTATACGGCTGAAATTGTGGGATTAACTAATAGATTTTTCATGACGATCATGTGCCCTCGCACCGAGATGTAGTTGTGAACGTAGTTGTGAACGTGAAGACCCAAAAACTCGTTCTATACCATCGATCAACCAACGTATTCACCGAATTTGCCCCATACGACTTTTTCTTATTCCCAAGACTCAAGTTACCACTCCGTGGTACCCGTTTCAATTCGATTGAGACCGTAAAAGAAAATTCGCAGAGAGCACTGAAGTCGACAACAGCTGCTACAAATAAATTGGTTTACAGATCGCCCTAACTTTGGTATTGTAATTGTAGATAGTGCTACCAACTTAACAAAAAAAAAGTGCTGATAAATATTAAGAAAGTAAAAAGTTCGTTCCTCTATTGAGGCCAACTTCTCACCATTAAGCGCGTTTGCCATGGACAGAAAAAAATAGTAATCACTTGGCGCCAGGTCCGGCCTATAAGGTGGGTGCATTAGGACCTTCCGTCCGAGCTCCTGGAGCTTCTGGCGCGCCACCAAAGACGTGTGTGCCCTGGCGTTGTCCTGATGGAACACAATTCGGCCTCTGTTGATCAAAGATAGCATCTTCTGGATGAGTGCCGAATTGACCAATTGATCATAGGAGGAGAGCAGCTCGTAGTAGATGATTCCTAGCCAATCCCACTAAAAACACAGCAAAACCTTCCTGGCCATCAATCCGATCTTGGCCACCATCTGGGCCGCTTCCCCGAGCTTTGATCACGACCGTTCAGAAACGGGTCGATTTTATTGCGATTCAGCCGCGATTCGCAGATTGAAGCTCGGTCTATAATTTTTTTTTGCGTTGGTTTGTGTGGCAAATCGAGCTTTTTTCTTAATCCAAGGTTATGCAAATGGTTCCAAACGGTTTTCTGGCTTATCTTAAGTTCCTTAGCAATTAAATAAATGCTCACGTGACTTTCCACTACTTCCTTGATTTTATCGCAATTTTCGATGAAAGGCCTCCCGACGCGTGGGGCATCTTTGACATCGAAATTACCGGAACGGAACCTAGCAAGTCACTTTTGTGCTACACGTTTGTTTACACTATCGGGTCCATTAACTTTATTAATTTTTTCAGCCGTTTTGGCTGCTTTTTCGCCTTGATCGAAGAAAAATTATAAAATTTAGCGAATTTTCTTTATGCTGGTGTCCATCTTTGACGAGCGGTCACAACGTACTGAGCCAATCAATCGAAAAACTGTCAAAGACAAACTTTTAGCGGGAACAAAGACGTTTTCAGCGCCGTAAAGTATGACATGAAGCGTCATGCGAACGAACTTTTTATTGACTTAATATTTCCGCAGGCAGTTTAAATGACAATTCCCGGAAACTTTCTGGTCTTAATGTGTATTCGTACTTTTTAGCCCTTTGAGACTCTTTTTCCGAAAAATATTAAATAATTGTTTGAAACCTAATTCAAATAAGTATTTAAAATTTCTATTTTGTATGAAAGTATACCAAAATGTGGCCCAATACGTTAGCTGTATATTGTTGGTATATAAAGATAAATTTTTGTACTCTGAAACCGTACCAAAGTATTTACACCTTTACATTTTATTATTAATTTATTTATCCTGTATCAAAGATCAGTCTTAAGAGGGATATATATTATATAGTCTTCGGGTTTCGACGTTTTTCAGTGCATATTCTTATTTGCATCAAACTTGTATGGAATACCAAGTTCCATGACCGAAAATCACATATCTGAACAAATCGGTTGTAAACAGTTCCACAAATGATCAATCTATTACAGAAAAATGTCCACATAATTTCGTTCTAGTAACTCAAAAAC